TTAATCAATGTTACATCATATCAGAAGTGTTACAAGCATACTCATTAGAATATTACGATACAAGCTGTCAGAAAGGCACAAAAATTTGAGGATTTTTGGGAGGAAGTGATTTTTTTTCCTCAAAATCTCCATGGGTTCAGCTAGCCCCTAAAATATCACAGGGCCGAGTTTCAGGTGGTAGGAACCACAAAGCAGTGCTAATTCAGCAACAGTTTCTCCAGCTGGGCATCTAATCTTATAAAGTGTAAGCACATATTACGACATAGGTAATTCAAGATCCAAATGACCAAAACACACAGGCATGTATATATGTACACATATGTATATGTGTATATATGTGCAAATACACATACACATATATGTGCATGTGAAGATACATGTACTTTCAAACCATTTATAAATTAGGGCCTTATTCCTTTTGTTTTCACCTCAAGTCCAAGGGGAATTCCATTGAATGAGGTGAGTGAAACAGGATTAAACACAAAAATCCACCTCAGTGCAATGTAAACATGTTTTCAGTGTGTTCTAATTTACAGTTTCGGAATTATCCTCATTTACAGGCTGCCCACTTGCACTGCATGATTTTATCTCAAGAGCACAGAAAATAAAAATCTCATGTCTGCTTATTTAATAAGCAGTAAAACAGCAAAATAAATACTACAAAAAAAGTTGCTTAATCGGGTTTTAAACACAAAGTAGAACGGCACTGACAGACAAATCACAGCGCTCAGACAGAATACTCTGATGGCATACTTTCAAGCTTTGCATGCACATGCATTTCCTGGTAGTGTGTCTTTAGCTACACAGAATATCACTGAGTTTCTCCAATATTAAACACATATTTAAAACTCTAAGGCAAACTGGATTCTGTTCTTCCATTAGGTACAATACTGTGGTTCCCACACAAGTCTGTGGATGTGTGTGCCCAGCTGGCAGTGAAATTCATTTAACATTAACACCCTATGGCGCTACAAAGGGCTCTCCCCTGATTCCATAGCAAATTAAACTAATACAGAAGCACTTCACCATAGCAGGCACTTACCTCTCTTTCTTGCATTAATCTTTGGCCCTCTGCAGCATATAAGCAATTTGTCTCCTCCAAAAACCTCTGTTCAAACGATTCTTTATAAACCTGTTCAATAAATGATTTACATTAAGTTGCCATTATCAGTAGCATATTTTTAAATGCCAGACATAGAGGACAAGCAATATCTCAAGAACGCCCACAGCTATGAAGAAGTGTGAGATTAACATTATTATATAAACACAGACATTCCTCGTTTACCACTAGCTTTAGAATGACTGAGATCAATGCTGGCTTCACAAATCAGCAATAGCGCATTTCAGTCATCATTAGATTGTCTAAATAGACAGGCTTCTATTTAAGATGCCCAGAGCAACACCAGCACCCAAAAGAACAGCTCAGTAAGAGCATCCAGTCCTCCTCAGCTCAAGATTCCTGGTGGTAATTTTGTGGCAAAGATAATATTCCAATTAGTGGCACAAATCAGATAACTCCTGTCAGTAACAATTCTTCAGAACAATACTGACATACTAGTTTAGGTCAGCCAGGTTTATCTTAGAGGCCTTAAAGAAAAACGTATTATACCAAAGAAAGTGAACTCCCTTTCTCTGGTGAAGGAACAAGATGTTGTGCTAAAAAAGGGTACCAAGAACAATCAAACACACACAAAAAAAACTTCTGTGTAATGATTTATATTGTTTAAGCACAGATGGGAGATAAGTTAGAAGAGATTTACTATAAATAATATGTAGAAATATATTGTAACATATATGTAAAACAATTCAAGCAGCCTGAAGACGGAAGCTTAGGAATAACATGTAAATAAAGGGACAGATGGGAGTGGGGAGGAAGTACGGTACTTGAAGGAGGTGGAAGAATAAGAAAAAATACTTTCTCTAAAAGATAAGACTCAAAGTCATCATTACCTTCTGACTCATATTTCTTATGGATTTTTAAAAGTTTGTGTTTTTCAATGCTTCAAACTTAAAAATGCTCAGCAAGCATTCTGAGTGCAATTGTTCACTTATTCAGTACCACGAGGCTCAATACCTCACCCTTCCACTCTCTACAGTAGCTCCATGTTCAATAGGATCAAATTTCAAATTTTGTTCATTACCCTCCTTCCCTTCAGAACAACTGGAGCAACCTTAGAGACTATACATTAACATGACAATGTGCGAAACTGATATAATACCACATAAACCTCTAGAACAAGAAACATCTTAGAATAAGATTAATGTGAGCAGGAACCGACTTTCTGTAGCAGGACCTCAGCTACATAGGTATAGATCATAAATTTATAAAATTAAATTATAAATCTAAAATAAATAATATTTATAAGATAAATTATAAATAAATTAGGGGTATAAACAAATTACGGGTATAAACTGGAGGTGGAACTTCCTGTGTTTCATATGAGGAAGAACTTCTTTCCTGTGAGGGTGACAGAGCCCTGGAACAGGCTGCCCAGAGAGGTTGTGGAGTCTCCTCCTCTGGAGATCTTCCAAACCCGCCTGGATGCCACCCTGTGCCACGTGCTCTGGGTGTCCCTGCTGGAGCAGAGAAGTTGATCTCTATAGAGGTCCCTTCCAACCTCAGCCATTCTGGGATTCTGTGTGTATAATTCCCTAAAATACAGGGATGAATAGAAGCATAACTGTTTTTAAATGAAGTACAAAATTTGCTTATTGAATTCATCCTTTGCCAGAAGCTAAGCTAACTTCTCTGAGACGCAGAGATCCTTGACTGTAGGACCTTACAGGATTACATCTCTACCTCCCTATAGCTAAGGATACGATAAAAGAACAGGTCAAAGTACATTAGGTTACCTAGTGCAGAGAGAAAATTACATTTCTGAACCAAAGAAGGAGGCGGCACACCTATATCCAGTTCTGTGAGAAGGATATAATAATGGAGAATTAATCCCTCTACTTTGCAAACTACATTGCTGAATGGATAATGGTAAAAAATGTCAGGATCTTCAAAAAGAAAAGAATGGAGGCATCTAGAAAAAAAATGGCAAATAAGGGAAAAAATCGGAATAACACACAAATCATTTCATCTAGCATGCAAAATTATTACTGTATGATCTGAAAAAATAATTAACAAAATTTTTTCTTTGCTCTCAAACAGAATAGTTAGCTATTAATATTTCTGGTATCTTAGAAACAGTTATGGATGAAAAAGTCAGGAGGGTTAACATAAAAGGCAGAAACTCAAGCAGGCTGCCTGACTACAAAGGGCTATTTATCAGTTTTTTATGAAGTCTACTGCCTCCGACACTTTTTTAAACCTTACTCTATTTCAAAATGTACATCACCTGAGAACAGAGTGAGCTAAACCCTCGGTAAGAAAAGATAGCCTGTAAGTTTTACCGCACACCACACACGAAGGCTGCAATGTTCACCAGAGGCCAAAATACACCAGAGTCAAAAGAACATTTAATATTTTGTTTGGTAGCTTCTCAGGTATTGTAAGGGAAAATACCATTAAGTTATAGACTGACCACATCAGACTGAAAATGATTGCCTGTAGTTTGCATTTTGTTCCATCCATGGCTGTTGTACTAAGAGCTCATCAACATGGCCATGTTTTTGTGGTACAGTCCCATGATTTGCACTATGAAAAGCCTTTTTACAGTGATGAAGGTGGTTCATTTTTGCTGCTACGGTTACCCTACACTACAATTAAAAAATGCTCAAGACAATATATCATTCATATTAAAAGACTTCCAAACCAGTTATTTAAGATCAGCAGGCCACTACCTCAGCTAAGAAAACAGGAAAATAAAGAAGTCTCACTTAAAAACACAGAATGAAAGATTGTGCACAGTGCAGAGAAAAGGGAGCTGCTTCTTAATCTAATAGCTGGATTTTGCATCACGTTTGCTAGCAGATTAAAAGGATCTGTGTCGAACAGCCATACTAGGCAAGCCCCAAGTCTGTTTCTCAAGGCAGTCATTCCCAGCAAAGCCTGCTGCACTCACCTGCAGGTCAGAGAGCATGCTTAACAAACTGCGCAGCAAACTTCTGTCCACAGCCTCACCACTTCGTTCTCGTTCAATCAGCAAGAGGATTCCATCAATAGTCTTGTTTTGAACTTGTTTATCACTAATAACGTGATTCCTAAATAATTCTAGCCCCATATCCCTGCATGAATATTGAAAATGAATAAATCAGTTTAAGTTTGCATGCTCCAAAGATGTTTCATTTGTAAAATCTGTATCTTAGTTTGAGGAAAAAATATATACATTTAATACACACACACGCACTACAGAAAACGAGAATATATTAATGGTTTATATATTTCCTTTTAGACTGTCCACTAAGAAAACTATGGTAAGATTTACTATAAAAATACCAGGCTCTATACTACAAGATGCATATGGTTCAGCTGAAAACAATGAACAGTCTGTCTGTATTTCACACAATAGACTATATCATTTCCTTTTATTAAAAAAATTATCACTATAAAAAAATACAAATCTGAACATACATTTTAGCATAAGATTCCCAAGTATCAATCTACATGTAATTTATCAAGAGCATGAATTCTGTATATTTAGGAGCTTATGATCACCTACATCACATTTATGTTTCATACTCAGATGATGCGGAAGGTGCCTCTGTGTCTCACCATAAACAAGCCAATTGTTAAATGTCATCTTGGCCAGGGAAAACAGAGGAACTATAGATAAAACTTGTTTCCTACAGCTTTTTCATACCTGTCAGGTTAAATGGTAGTTTCAGAGTGTGAGGGGGGAAAAAAAAGATGCAACATATGACTAGTCCCCTTTGATGACACATAGTAAATGGAAGCTTAAGACAGCAAAAAAAGATTCTTTTGAGTAAGGACCACAAAAAGATGAAGGAAAATTACCACAGAGGTCAGGAGAAAAAAAAAAAAAAAAAAAGACTTCATGTTCCATAGAACTAGCTGGATGCGGGAGAGGGATGCCAGACGTGAAAAGTGCAAGGGACTCTTGCGAGCCCCAAAGTAACTAAGGCAGGAAAAAGGCATGTTGGCATTTTATCTACATGTTTCATTGCCTTAGACTGAGTAATTATATCAGAAAGTTTTGTTGAAAAAGTGGGGGGGGCATTATTTGCTTTAGTGATATAAAATTATCCTCAGCAGGGAATCTGAAAACCAGGTACCCAAAGTTATGGGCATCGTTAAGGTTATGGGCAGGCTTAAAGTACAGGAGGATCTGGGGTTGCTGACCTTAATCTCAAAGCTCTGAGCCATGGGTTTCAGCTCTGAGAGGCCTGCATTGGAAAGACGATCTGCATCTCATGAATATACCTAACAATTAAAAAAAATCTCAGAGCAAGAAGTCAAAGCTTGGATTCTGTCAGAATCAGGAGCACCTAAAGTAATGCTGACCCATCACTGAGGCCAACACAGTATCCGAAGGCGCGTTCCCATATGGACTGCTTCACCTAAGCTGTAACATTACAAATTTATATATGCCCTAACTTCTGAGCACATGCTTACTGAGCTTGTTGTCCTTACACTGTACAAGGAATATTCTTGGAGAAGGAGGAAATGACGCATACATACAGAGTCATACAAAATTCCATAAATTAACAGAAAATTTTGTAGAACTACTACACCATTCAAAAAGTAAAATAAACGAAAAACTTTTATAAATACAATAACATATTCAAACTCTAAAAATTACAAAGGAATACTTACTCAGATACCTACCATATAGAAGGCAACATTGAATTCTGAAGTACATATGTGCGATCCAAAAATAAGAAAATACTTCTGATCATGATCTGAAAAATCAGGAATTACAGAAAAAAAAAAAATCTTTCACCAACACACAGCATTTTATAAATATAAAGTAACTTTTGGAAAGTTACACCACATACACACATACCTTGGTTGTTGATGTACCTACTCTCATCTTTGGATGATTTATATAGCTGCTGCTATGTAATTTATTGCTGTTAATAATGCCTAGGCACCATGACTAATCAGCACTACCAAGTACATCCTGGGCAGTCTCCAAATTCACAAACATAAACTGAATTATTAGCCTTTTATGAGATCTAATGCATTGAAATACATTAGCCCTTCAAGCAGTGGCACGGAGACTTTCAGTAAACACACTGAAATACCTGCTGTCTTGCTTTTTAAAGGAGATGTTTTAAGCAGAGGTAGTTATGAGTAATGCAGTAGAAGTTTTCATAGGGAAAGTTCATGGCCAAAATTTATGAGATAGAGTCTTCTCCCTTACAGGAGAATCTATAAAATTATCATTTTCTTCATTAAGAATGGTGGAGGAGGGGAATTTCTCTTTAGCTTCTCACTCCTCCTCATCCAAAATCCAATCCGAATTATGTTCGTACAGAAGCTCCCCAGCTTTCAGTTCAGTTGGAGCAACACAGGCTGCTGCCACAGTTCTGGGCCAGCTACAGCGACTTCTATCCTCAAGTGTTCACCTGCTGCCCCCTCAAAGGTTTCTGCCTTTCCCTTGGATGCTTGTGAAGCAGTTCTTAAGCCAATGCAGCTCCTAGCCAAGCATATTAAAACAAAATAGCAACAACATCGATTTTTTCCTTTCCTGACATTTTCCACTTTTTTATTTCAGATTAAAAGCACATCCCTCTGACCATCCCCCTCAGGAGAGAAGGGTATTTCCAGGAATGAAAATGAAAATTCAGCTATTTTGGGCTTCTGTAATCAAAGCTAAATGCAATTAAGACTCTCCTTTAAAAATGCTGTCCTAGAATTATGATGATGCATTTTTAAAGGGACAATACCATGAATTCTTTCTGAAACTTTCTGAAACTTTCTATAACTTCTGAATTCTTTCTGAAACTTTCTATAACTTTATTCACTGTGGAGGCAGAGGACAGGAAGCAGTAAAAGAGAAACTTAAAACTTTTTTTTGTTTTGTTTTAATTTCCTATCCCTTAACCCTACAATCAGGATATTCACCTCTGCCTTGCAAAAGGAAGAAGTCACAAATAATCCAGCTGTTCAGGCTATCTAAAAGTAAAGATTAGGACTCTTCAATTATTTAAAGTTACAAGCAGTAAACAGTTTCAGCATAGTCAAGTTAGCTTTTCTTTCCACTCCTGAAGAACGGGAGGTGTCTATACATTTTTTTTTCAGTGATATTTCACCAAAATGAAAGCTATGAGAGGCAAATTGGAAAAGTCGGCAGGAAACAGTTCCCAACAGCCAGTGGCCACCCACCCCTACTCCCTGAAAAAAGGAAGTAAAATATATGCTGAAATTTGGAGAAGGAGATACAACACGGTCCCAAAATAAAAGACTGCCTTTTTGCCAAGCCCCACATGCCAGGAATATGCATTCTGTACAGTCACTTGGCTTACCATTTGTCTGCAATGATCTTGCCAGCATTTATTTATCTTCCTTAAAAATAAAAGGCTATCCAGAGAATCTGTACAGCATCTATTAAGGAAATAATTTTGCCAGTAACTTTGGGGACTAAATTCGGGAGATGACCTTTGCCAGCACGTCTGCCCAGGGATACAGCAGCGTTCCTGGGACTGGCCCCGGGGAAATGGTTAACTGCAAGACTCGTGCCCAACAGAAGGGCTGGCACTTCTTCAAAAAGCCTCCCTATGTTCTCAAGCAGTAACACCCGCTGCTCTTCAGTAACACCATCTAGCGGCTGCACTGCCTCAATTCAATACAGATTTCAGTAAGAAACCCCAACAGTGTCAAAAAAACACCTCATCACCAGCTGAGGCTGCACTGAAAGGTTTATTTTCTTTGCTTAGGTAGTTCGCACTGTGCACAATGGGAGTGACCCTGATCAGTTACTGAAAGCAGTTACTGTTTTAACTGTTCCTCTATAAATCCAAACTCTGATCTTTTCATACACGTTTCCAGGTCTTCCCGAGTAAACTATGAAGTTTTCTTCATGCCACAACAGATTTGATTGTTATTTATGCTTTCAGAACTCTAATATATCCTATGAGGAAATCCAGACATGGTTTTACCTCCCTTTCACATACAGCATCATCTTTAATCAACTCTGGACAAATCTGATTATCCTAATCTCACGTCCCTGGGACATGAAATGGCATACCTGTAAAATACAAAACTCTCAACTCTCCGAATTATCAGTTCTATCAGAGACAAGAGAAACCCCAAGGTTTTAAAGCATAAGTTTTAAAACATTTCTTTAGAGGATCAGTTGAATTCTGCTAAGCAGGGGAGCAAAACTGACTGCTTTCAGCTGACTAAAGAATTCAGTTCTCAATTCTCTGTTTAAGAGACTACTGTACACTCAGTCAGAAAGTCTGCTCTGGATCAGACATAATAACATCCTTTTTAGATGGATGAGATTTTAAATACATCACATTAAATACCATTGAAAAATCAGCTGCCTAATTAAAAGGTGAATTCACAGTGCTGATTTATGCACCAATGTTCTCTATAGGCCAAGGAGAAGCCAAACACTAACTGGGATTCCCAACAACATACATGCTGGGACTAAATCAGCTAATAAATAAAAATAAATAAATAAACAGCAAGAGGAAGGGAGCGAGCAAGGGCACGCAAGCAATTCATCTTCTTTAGGAGTGTGGGCCTTCATCTGGAGAACAAAGTGAACTGAGAAACAGAATCACAGTCCAAGGCACAGTTAAGGTTTCCACCTAGGGTTCCTTCTAGGGTTCCCCAGCTTCTTTCTATTTTAACCAATCATTTTCTGATTGAAAAAAAAAAACACATTCAGGGTTATCTTAAGATAAATCTTAAGCTCTTTCCAACTTTGGAGCTCTCCCTCATGAGCAGGGGATACTTTCAGCTGGATGGTAAATAGGTTATCACTTGCACATATTCAACACAACACTAAGAAACATAGCTTAACATGCCCAGCTACAAATTATGGTTCATTCATATAGTGAAGCCAGAGACCTTTTCAGCCATTCTGCTAGTGAAGTAGAAACCTTCCAAGGTGCAAATGTTCCTAAAGGAATTGCTGAATGCATCCCTTATTCACTATTATTAGTCAAACAGATGGATTTATCTTATATTCAATATTCTTGGTATGGAAGACACACATTGCTGCTGTTGAAAATTACTGTGTTTTTTTTTTTTTGTCTGTTTTTGCTATTGGTGTTGTAAGCATCTCTACATTACAAACTGAACTACTTACCTGCCCTCCTCCTCCTTCTCCACCTGCCCCTCCCCCCTAAAAACGAACAAACAACCAACAACAAAAAAATTTGCTGTTAACATTCTGGAGATTTAACATTCATAGTACTAGTGAAATCTTGCAGGTTAGGTGTAAAATTCAAGTTTTTATTAAAACAATGACAAAATTGTTATTGACATGCAATATCAATATGCAATATAAGTGTACCTATTTGTACACAAAAAGTTACTCCCCCATTAAAGTCGAGCATGACTGATTTGGAGTTACAAGTTCAGGGAAGAACTTCTTAACACCCTGGCAAACACCTGTGTAATTAAAAAAGAATTATTTTAAAAAATGATGTAAATACTTTTCCAGCTAGCTCTGTGCACAAGAAAAGGATATTCTCTGAATTGAAGGATTTGTGCTTTCACATGATCTTCACAGACTTGTCGCAGCTGTTTGTACAGTGTAGCAGACACTTTATAAGAACAAAGGTTTTCAACAGCCTAAAAAGCAGCAGAAAAAGATTATAAACGAGACAGGAAAAGGGGAAAAAAAAAAAAACATATTTTTGTTCCAGTGTAACCAAAACCAACAAAAAAAGTTTGAGTTATCTTTCTATGCGCCAAACAAAACTTATTAAAATGAAATTAGCCAGCTACAAAGAAAAAAAAAGTTCTTATGAAATTTTTCTTTTTGGCTCCTTCTTACATTGTCAGATTTTATCTAAAAATAAGGTTCACCTTTACTATCTGGGTCATTTTTCTAGACATGTGTTACAAGCATTTTCCCCCAGTGAACACTGTTCAACAGTTGAACTCTTACAGTAGGTCTATTTTGTACCTTTCCCAGGCACACACAGACTTCTAATTCATTCATATCAAATAGTTTAATTTCTTTTCTTAATAAGTTTAGGGGTGAATTATTGCTGAACGTTGTCATATTGCAGCATTGTTACAGATTAACTGCTTAATCACTAAGCATTTTCCCCACAGACATTTAAATAAGTAGATTTCCAGCTTTCACATCCCTCAGTTGAGGTGCAAAGAACACCCAAGCTAAACATTTTAACAGTAAATCTCAATTATAAATAGATATAGCTACTGTCTTGTCATTTTATTAACTTATTTCTTCCAAAACATTTCCACTGGTCATACATGAGCGATTAAATAAGTCAACCGAGGAAAGAATAAAAGCATTAACTTTTAAACAAAGACTTGAATTGACTTACTGGGACCTCACAATATTTAGCTGAGGATTTATCCACAGCTGATTAAGAACTCCAGTTCTGCTCCAAAGCAAACACTCCTTTAGCCATGACGTTAACATAAGCTGAGCTGCTACGTAGGCGACTCAGACTATGCTAAGACACCTCTGGACAGCTACAGAAGACTGTTGTTCAACTATGCAGCAATTGCGTTGTCTTATGCTAACATTTTTTCCCTCACAAGGAACTCAGTGAGAACGCCAAAGAGAAAATGTATCTTGTTTGATATCACTGCCTATATTTAGTCTGTTCCAGGCGTGCTTTGTGCACTGTATTTCAATAAATTATTTTATTAATAGACCAAAGCATCTAAAGTGAATCACAATGAAGAGAGCCAAACGTTTTGAGAACTGTAATATTCACAGTTAAGTTTTCTTGGCCAATCGGTGCCAGTCATCTCTTTCTTTAACTTCACCTCAACTTTATTCTATGAGAGAATATTGAAAAGAACCCTGCATAACACTCAAAGCACTGTTTCGTTTGGGCAACTGAAAGTGACCCACTTTGCTTGAGAGGATTTATAGTGTCCTATTTTGTTGATGAGTTTGGTGACAGCATCAACGGACACGGAACAAGTTTCAACATTTTCCAAATGTCTTGGTTTTCAAACAGCCTCCCTCAAATTTTAGCTTTTTTGAGACTTTATTTCTTTGTATGTATGCAATCCGAAATGTTCTGCTGCCTAACGCTCACACGTAAGCCTTTGCCAAAGTACCAGTGAAGGTTCCTCATTCCATTTCCGTATAAAAGGACACAAACACTCCTGCTAGGCATGGCGAGAAGGGAGGGAGGGAGAGAGGAATGGCTCGCTCGCTCTTAGGCACTGGTACTAGCTTAAAATGTACCTCAAACTGTACCTACAAACTTTATCAGCTTTGTACCTGCTCTAACTTGCTGCTGCTGCTGCTTTCCTGGGGGAGGAAAAGGTTTAACATGACCTAATAATTTCTCTCTTCTTCAGCCTTCATTTTATTCAGATTTTTTTGCCATCTGTCTTTCTGAAGGAGCATGAGTTGACTTTAATCCATCGTTCAAACAATTAGTTTGGAAAACAGCTACAATCATTGTCACATTCACAGTGATGTAACATGTAAAATACCACTGACTCTCAGCTACGCAAATCTAGTAAAAGGTGGATTTCAAATCACCCCTTTAATGGCTTATTTTAAGTAGTCTTCTCTTTCTCTGTTTTAGCCTGCAAATAACTGCTACTATTGATATTTTTCCCCTGTAGCTTCTTACATCCTAAAGAGTTTATCTTCCAAAACACAGAAACTGAAACTGCTCCCCAGAGGAATTACCCCATGGGTAATTCTAACCTACTTCATGCCACTTTATTTAAACGCTTATCAACTAGTGGCTTCATCAACTTTGATGCAGTATCTTAAAAAGTAACTAATAACTCTTATTATTTCCCTTCATTACTACAACTTTTTCTTTCCTATTCCATTTTATATCCTCAAGAAAGGCAGTATCGCCCCATCTCAATTTATTTTATTACCCTTCTGCAAAGGTAGTTTCCCTTTTCCATCATTTTTGTCACTCATTTAGTTCTCAACTTGGCCTTTTCCCCCCCGCCCCCCTCAAAGGCCCCAGTTTCGCTTTCCAATTGAATTCAAGCCACTTTTATCAAAATTTTTGCAAACTACCACCAATCCTAGGCATCATTTCTGCATTAGGAGAAGAAAATTAACTGCTGCCCTCCACCTGCTCACTGACTACCTTCCTGCTAGGCACCTTCATGCTTTATTCCATGCTGCTGGCAATGCTTAGAAAGGAGCATCCTTCCAACATGCCCCAGAGCCTGGTCATTGTTTTTCACTCCTCCTTCAGCTACCCATGCCAAAGCAGTTCAAAAAAAGTTCAAAAGCAGGTTGGTGTACCAGTCTGCTCACCACACGTGAGTCTTGTGCGCCTCTCACTTCCTCTCCAAACAGCAGATCAAGGAACGCATAAAGCAGCCCCGATCGTTAGATGTGCACACAAAAATACTCCCCTGTGGACTCTGTGCTCACTATTACGCTGATAACAATGATCTTTAAGTCCAGAGCAAGCTTCCAATAGACGCTGTACTTGGTCTTTTTAACTTTGGCAGGACAGTAAGTAGCTGTGCACAGATAAACTCTCATCCACTAGTCACTGTGCAGGAATCTTTCTGATTTGCACCACTGCCTGACATATTATTGAACTGGCCTTATAATGTGCAGCTCTTGCAAATGAGCATGCAAACAGAAAAAACAAGGGAGCACCTGATATCTCTCTCTTCCTCTTCTGCCAGAACTCAACTTGACAGTTTCAGCCCTGAAATTACTATAATCTCATTTCTGAGCCTCTGAAAATAAGTTAGGTACATTTCAAAGTATCTACATATTTTTACTTAGTCACAAAAAACAGTATTTTTCAAATGCTGAGTTTAAATGCATAAAATGTGTTACATAACTCAAACTTTGAAAATTTTAAAATAATAATAGATGAATAAACCACAGCCAAAATATTTCAAAGCATCAAATTATATGAAGTTAATATAGATTTACTTAATCAGTCATTTTACATCTATGTATTATATATCTTAACTAATCATAGAAAAAAAAGTTTAGCCAGCTTTCAAATTTATGCTGATTTCTTTGAGGACCAGATTTATCCTCCTTCATAGTCCACATTTTCCAAAAAAACAAACCTACCTCTGCTACACATTTTGAAGATTTTTCATTGTAATAATAATGTCTTAAGTCTTGATCTGATAACGAGACTCACACCTGCAGATTAACTACAAAAATCTGCACCCAAAAGAAAACCTTGTAGTCAATTTCAATTATGTAACCCGAACTACAGTATCAGCAGTTTTTTTATACCTATACTATTGTTGTACTAAAGTTGCATAACTCAAAGAATACACTTAAATAAAGCATAAATGGAGAAAATGAAAGGAAGATATCTCTCAATCCTATTTCTTTTTCTTACACTTCCTATCCACTATTTAGTACTTTAGCTCTTCCAGACGTGATTTTTTTACCACTTTAACAGAAAAAATTAAGACACTGGTTCTTTCAAAAATGTAATGGTAAGTTGAACCAAAGGTGAACTGATATCTTTTGGAGAATCATACTTAAGCGGGCAAAAAACTAATAACAACAACAACCTATAGGGTAAACTTTTTTTAAACCTAATTATTATTTAAAACAGCATTTATTTTAACATTTACTGTTTAGTGGAGACCAAAGCATATACGGAAGATAAGTCCTTATAAAAGATACGTCTGCATAACCAAGTGAGAGTAACATCCTGTTTTCAGTATCCCGAGTTGCAGAGTTTGGGAGGGACTGACACTTCAATCTCAGCTCTGGCCAGACCCAGCTTTCCACGCCTCCCAGTACAACTTGCTTTTACATGAGCTCAGACCCTGCTAGTTTCTCCTGGGACATGAAAGCCAAGTGCAAGAAGCCTAGAAACAGAACACCAAGGAAGCTGCTTGGAGCACACAACCCACTTTTAGCAAATTGAGACACACTGTATTAAAACTGTGAGTCTCAAAGTGGTTATTTCCTGCCTGTTACAATAAACTTGAAACCCTATGTATCTTACCTGGTAGAGCTCTTCAAGGTTGTACTTAATAGAAATGCTACTCTGTATTGCTCCCACTGCTTCGTGAAGTTTCTGCCATGTGTCCTGAGTATAATTATCTGGTAATTTGGGTCTTTCTGTGTGAGAGAGGAGGGAAAAAAAAAAAAGGCAGTCAAAGCCTAACCAAGGAATGGATAAAGGTAGCAATCCTGTTTCCCACGTGCTTTATTCAATTCCACACAGTGATGTTTTGCTCCCTCATTTAAGACTGCAGTAGTAGCCACCAGTTTGCCGAGCCCTGGTGCACGCGTGGGCTCCGTGGACCCAGCGCGAAGGGCAGCGGGCACCGCAGCTGGCGACGCCGCTGCGCCCAGCCCAGGCGTCAGAGCAAAACGAGCGCTCGACCCAGACGACTGCGCTGCTGGCGTTTGTCGGTTTGGGGGTTATTTTTACACTTTCTGCAAGACAACTCTTATGCTGCTCTGACTAACGAGCGGTGTCGCCACCGTGGCTTCTACCCTCTCTTCCTGGGAGCCCTCATCGCGCCTGTCTACGCCCACGGGCGCCCGGGCCTCCCGCGGGGCGCTCGGGTCGCGGCGCTGACGCCTCCAGAAACGCGTACGGGCTCCGCGCCCGCCCCCCGCCTGGGCCCGGCGC